CAGAGACTTGCTGCCTTTTTCATCAGACTGGGCTGAAATTGATTTGTCAAGGCCTGCAGTGTTTGTCTGACTGACACGTCTGAGAAAGTGCTGCTGCTTTTTTTTTTTTTTTTTTTTTAGAAAGTGGAAGGTTTGTGGAAGGAGCCAGGCTAGACTGTACATGCACAGAATGCAAACTGGCCTGACAGACAGACAGACAGACAGAGACAGTGGTAGAGAGAGACAGACACGGGAATCTAAAAGCTGAGGTTGTCGAAAGATTTCTCTCATGCAAAACAAAAACCACCGTGGCACTGATTAGCTGCAGGTTCAAATGCAACAACAGGCAGCCAAATCAGCTCTGTGGTCAGTCAGGCTCATATTATTATCGGACATCCAACTTTAACAAACGCTGAAATGTCTCTGATTGATAAAGAACTGCGTTAGAACTGCGTCTCGCTGCACAGAAGACTTTTTTGAGTTCTCTTACCTTCTAGTCATGCTTGTGCTGCTTCCATAGAGGTGCAGAACTTTATATTTGTAGTGAAAAATGAGCCCAGAAACTGCTAATTTAATCACCCAAAAGCAGACCTTGTCACTCCTTTTGCTTGTCACTTATTTATCAAGGTGCACTGGTGGTATTTTTAATATGAATCAAGCACAAATTTTGCACAAATGATGTGTTTTCATGACAGTATGCATCTGATGCATTCACATAAAACTGCTATCTCCGCTACATGTGGCAATAGTTCAATCTGAAATGTTTAAAATGGTCTCTCATTAATGGATATATGACAAAAATCTGGGTTCCGTAGACAGGATTTGGCAACAGCAGACATTGTCCTTAATTTATTATTATTTATTTCCCAATTGCATCTGGTTGAAACAGCTTTTGCAGTCCAATATGCTCGCGTATCGCTACCAAACGAACAGACAGAGAGGGAAACAAAAGAGCAAGCGTTGTGAGATCAGAGTAAGAAATCAAAAGTTTTCAAAGAACTAAAAACAAAGAGTGAAACCTCCGCTGGGATTCTGGTTCATACAAGAGAAAACCTGAAACAATCACTGGATAATTATCTTTCATGAGCAGCAGATGTGGAGGGAGGTGCAGGGATCAAGACAAAAAGGTGTAGAGAGCAACCCAGTAAGACGGAGTTGGAAGCAGAGACGATGGAATAAAGCAGCCTGCCGGTGAAGGAGCGGATTGAACTCGTCTCCGTCTGGTGCCGACGAGTCGTTTAGGGATCAGTTTGAACAAAAGGCAAAGTTCAGCGTCAGGTGAGGAGGAAACCTGGACACAATTAACCTCTGCAGCCACTAAAACCTCAAAGTCGAATGCAGCAACTCTCACCTCCTCACCTCTATTAGAAGGCTAATACTTCTTTTTTTTTTTTTCAATTAATTCGTAAATCAGTTCCCAAAGGAAGTGCTGGCATGTCATTTCAAGGGGAATCCCAGAATAATTAAATCATCAAGAGCAGGGCCAATTACAAAAGACTATGAAAACTAAAAATTTTTTTCTAAAAAAGCACCCAGAAAGAAACTTTTTTCTTTTCTTTTTCTAACAAACTTGAATGCAGCGGAGGTCCCTATTAAAGCTGTCAGCATGTGTTTCTCCTACGAAGTGTGACGCCCAACAGTCAGACTGTCCTGCTGTTTCAACAGCTGCCATCAGCACATCACCTAACATGGTTTGATCTCGCAGCTCACAGCGTGGATGTGGTGTAACGTTAATTAAAGTAACAAGGATCACACTGTTTATGACAAGAAAAAAAGATAATTCCAGCAGCGGGAGATGAAAAATACTGGGGGGGAAAAAAACGGGGGAAATGCAACAATTAATATAATCATGCTACATTTTTAAGCCTATTTATTGCCTTTTTAATGTTTATTAACCATATTTTAATGTGTATGACTGTATACAATACATAATAATATACACGTAATTAGATTGGTGGATAAATAATATGTAACCATGAGGATTTTATTTTGAAAGGTCGTCACTTCTTACAGATATTCTATGCTAATAAAAGCACATTGATTCAACGTTTTTATTGTGAAAACAATAGTAATTGTATAAGAACTCCTTAATTTAAGAAGAAAATTACAAGAAAAAAAAACCCCTGTATTTTTGTTTTTAGTTGTCACAAATTGTATCTAATTTTAGAAATATATTCACAGTATTACATTTGAATCTAACAATGTCGTCTCTTGAGTACAATTGAAATATTTGTGAAACTATAATACGTTTATGTGTTTCAGTATTTTTATGTCAAGAAACGGTGAACTTTTGTGGTTATTTAGGGTTACGGGTTTTTAATGTTGTTTAACATGTTAGTGCAGTCTACTTTTTGTAATTTTATTCATGTATGTTTTGGGGGAAAATCTGTAAAAGAGAAAAGAACATTCTGTAAATTAACATTATTTGTACAGTGGAGTTTAAACCACGTTGGGGAAGTCACTCTGTTTTTTGTTTTTTGTTTTGTTTTTTTTTAACTAAAGATGTTACCTGTAAGGTGGCACTTTGTGTTTCTTTCTTTCATTTTTTCTTTCTGATAAAAAGAGATGGGCGCTTCACTGCAGAAGCAGAATCTTCATGACAGTACTGCTCTCACATGTGATCGGCAGGTCGGCTTTGGGAGGTGGAATGTCAGTGCAGTGAGGCTGAAGGAGCAGAAGAAGTGTTAGTTTAGGAAGAACACATCAGAAGCATTTATTGTTTTTCAAACCTTTTTTTTTAACTCTGAGGTTTTTTTGTTCTGCTTGCAGAGGACGGTGCCCACCGGTCAGAACAGCCTGGTCCTGCAGCCTCTGCTGTCAGACACGGAGTACAAAGTGGCCGTCACTCCTGTCTACGCCGATGGAGACGGACCGACGGCCTCACAAATGGGACGAACACGTGAGTCATTTTAATGTTGAGCTTGTGTGAAGTTTTGAGTTTGTTGTCTCCATTCTGTCCTGCTGACTCATGTTGTTTATTGCAATGATGTGAATGTGATGAAGAAATGCTCCGCTGATACCGTCTTGTTGGCATATAAAAGGTTTATTGTAACAAATACGATATCTCAGACGCCTGTGAGAGGATTCAAAGCCAAAAAGAATCACCCTCCAGAGTGACCTTAACTGCTGGCTTATATAGGGGGGCTGTTTACGTAAATCTAAGACAAAATATATGGTTCATATCCTGAGGGGAGCCCATTCTTCTAAACAAAGAGGCACCTTTTCTGCAGCACCTTTGACCTCGGGACTCCTTACTAAACATTCCCATGAGGTGCAACATGAGTTACCACACTCATCCCCACTCTCACCTCAACAGGTCAATGCAGATGGCTTTTTTTTTTTGGTTCCTTTCTATTATCGACTTCTTGCTCACAGGGAATCCAAAAGCAACTTTGGATTATTGGGTTCTCTGTTCTTTGCTTAAAAGTCGTAAGGTCTTCACCTTCTATGTGAGGTGCTGTGAGAGAACATATGTTGTGAACTGGCGCTATATAAATAAAACAGAATTGAATTAAGTCATCTCGAATATCATGTATAACCCTCTGAGCCTCAAGTATTTTCTGCACGTTTATGTCCACATTTTTACTGATTGTAGGCTTGTTGTTTGCTGCAATATAAAGACCTGAACCTCTGTGGAAACAGCACAACCATGACTAGAAGTAGAGAGAGCTCATAAATGTCTTCTTTGCAATATGACACAGTTCTAATGCCGTAAATCATTACCAAAAAAATAATGAAAGTTACCCTTTTGATCACTTATTTTACAATTAAAGAAAGGAATGGAATCAATGTGTACAACATTTTTCCAAGTGCCCACTGGTGTGTTCAGGACTGGAGAAAAATTGGTGACTCTGCAAACTATAGATATTCTAAGACTGACATTTTTAGTTTGTTTTCATGCTTGTCTCCTCTCTGCTCTCTGTAAACACTGCCTGCAGTTTATCCCAGTTCAAGTTTTTAGATGAAAATCTGATTATTCTTTCAGTGTTTCCAGTTTGTGGCTCTGACAAATGGTGTGAGTTTATCATTTTCACAAAATATAAGACATTTTTCAAGCACACTGGTGGGTTTTGGGGTTCAGAGGGTTTACCTGAGTGCAAAAAAATTCATAACCAACAAGGTGAAAACCAGAGGATGTAGAGACACTGTTTGACCGCCACCATATTATATAGCGACGTCAGAACAGGTGAGCTGAATCTACTCGACTCTGTCCAGTAGACTGAGGATTGTCACAGAGTCCGTTGTCATTCAGTCAGTTCTATATCTCTGCTTCTGCTCATATTTCACATTTTTTTCTTTTCATTTTTCATTCGTAAACGATGTGCAGTATAAGAACACCATTAAATGAGGCTGAATTTGCCAAAAACAAGCAAATGAATGAAAAAGGAACTTCATCGGTGCCTCCTGGCTAACTCCAGCAGGAGTTTGTCATATGTGGAGAAATGAGCCGAGCAGATGTGATGCTGGGATTTAAGGGCGGAGATGAGAAGCTGCTGTGGATCAGAGCGCCGACCTACCGACCCTCCAACACACTCTGACATTTACTCACTGTGATCTCCGGCGCATTTGTACCGTTGTAGACTCACAGACCAAAGTATTATTGGATTTGTGCTGAGAAATCCCTGTCAAGATGAAATGAGGGCAAAATGACAGGAAAGACAGACAGAAGAAATGAAAGTGAAGCTGCAGGAATGAAGAAAGAACGCTGATGATGATTTATTACCACATTACCACATGATATACTACATTCAGTGACAGTTTATCAGCTTCATTCTGTGTTTCTCTATCACCGTTTGCTTTTATTATTTTTGCAACCGTTTGTTTTTCTCTCCGTGAAAGACGAAGGCCTGCCTTTGAGTCATGATGCTGTTATTTCTGGAGTTACTGCTTCTCCTGTTTCAACAAAGAAGGTATAAATGGTAGAGAGGAGGGGGCATGGGACGATCTGGTTTCAAGCATTAAAAATGAATGAATGAATGAACGAAGGGTTGGAGCTTCTAGAAGATGATGCCCGACTCAGAGTGCAGGAGTTTTGGGATCTTTTAGCCCCGTTTCACTGCTCCTGGACTTGACAAATCAATTCTGGGCTCTCATTCTGAACTGATGTTGGTCTGTATTATTTGGTAAAGGCTTTACAGATCCACTCTGAAATCTCCTGAACTGTTCACAGACTTCTGGGGAAGTTCTGAAATTTACAAGTTGAAATCTTGATCCCGCTACCTCACAGAGCAACAGATGCTATCACCTAGCAGTGCTAAACCCTGAAGCCCTGTAAGTTAACCTTAGCTTTAGATATTAACCCTCTGAACCTCAAAACCCACTGGAAGATTGAAGATGACATGTTGTCTATTTAAATAGCCAGAGTGACGCCATTTGTTAGATCCAGAAACTGTAAAAACAAACAGAAACATCCGACGTTCAACTTTCTGGCGGTCCTTGAACCACTCATCTGTGATATTCTTTTCTGTCGAGAAATCTAAGATTAAAATCCTGATATTTAATTAAAATCACTTCATTCCACATGTCTCATTTAAAAACTGTCACTGGACAAAAACATCAGGTGTTTCTGGCTAAACTAGGCTGAACTACATTTGGTGTTTACACTGAGCAGATGGGAGACAAGTGAAGAAAGTAGGAGAATATCTGTTCACCTTTTTTTTTTTCTTTTCCGGTATCGGAACCACCTGTAGTCATTAGGAAAACAAGTTTATTCCAGGGTTTTTTCTAAGAAATTCTACTTTTGGTTCTTCTTTTTAGGATCTATGCGATCAAAAGTGTGTCATACTGCACAAAATCCATTTATGAGTTCTCTCCACTTGTAGTCATGCTTGTGCTGTTTCCATAGAGGTGCATCACTTTTTACTGCAGTGAAAAATGAGCCCACAGTAAGTAAAAAATCCACAGTCTTGTCGTATGTGCACGTCTGAGATTAGAGAGCAGAATGTCTGCGTAGTTTCTATTTATGTGCGTGATGCAACCCGATTTCTAATCCGTTGGGATTTTGAAGTCAAGCTTCTGAAGTAAACTATGTGAAGCTTCAGTTCAAACTAAAATATCTCAACCTCAGAAACATGTTAGTTACTGTAGATGTGTTTCTTGTTACCCAGTGCCAGCAATCTATATGTACTGTGTAGCAAAATAAAGCGACAGCGTAGAAACAATGCGACAGCTGTCTCTGCTAACAAACCTACAGTCAATTATCTTCTATCGGCAGCTTCTCTCTGCTTCACACGACTTTGCAGAGTCTCAGCTTGTTTTTTTTAGCTGTCCAGCTGTGGTTCCGTCTCATCATTCTCTTTGCATCATTTTCGACCACAGCAGGCAGCTGTTTTTAGGGAAACACCTCTTAAAAGGCTCAGTACACTACCTGCTCAGCAGCAGACAGCAGACAAACACAGCTGGAGACACGCTGGTGAACACAGCGGCACATTTAGCAGCTAAGGAGCCACATATTTCCCTCAGGAGACGGTAGAGACCAAAACAGTGAGTCAGGATCCATACATTAAATATTTAATCAAGCCAGCAGTTTATTCAGGATAACTGATAATATGTTTAGCTGCTTACCTAAAAAGACACGTAGCTAATCCCACTGCAAATGCCTGTTTCTGCTTCTGTCACATTTTTGTTCACTGTGGGCTCATTTTCACTGCATTATGAAGTCCTGCACCTCTATGGAAACAGAACAACCATGACTAGAAGTAGAGAGAAATCCAACATGTCTTCTGTGCAGTAAAACAAAGGTATAATGTTGTAAATTACATTACGTTTTTATATTTCTTTGATTGCTTATTATATATGTACACACACAGAATCAACATGTAAAACCTTTTTCCAAGTGCCTACAGGTATTCCTAATACTAGAGAATATGATACTATAGGTAACATCTGGAAAGTAAAAAAAACCTGCCAGTGGGTTTTAGGGATCAGGGGATTTTAAAAAATTTAAAAAAAAGGATTGAAGTCAAGACAGTCAAACCAAACCAACAAAGCTTGAAAGACTGGAGACTTCCTGGGAGGAAACCAGCTTCTATAAACTATCAGGAGGGTGAGGACAGTCCCTCAATCAGGAAGAGGTGCTGTAGATAGGGAAGGACCAGAGAAGGGAATCAGGAGGAAGTCCAAAATAACCGATTCTGTCATTCATCCCAGGACCATCACAGCTGGAGATGTTCAGAAGCAGTTTGTTATTTAGCTCAAGTTCAGCTTAAAAGGAGGCGATGTGTCAATGTGCTCACCAGAGGCCAGCAAAATCAGTTACTGTAGGATTAAATCATGGAACAGCACCTTGGACTCGATAGAGTTAAGACATCTACAAGCATCAGGTGTTTCCGTGCTGCTGCACGAACACCGAACCTTTTCCAAGGAGGAAACTTGAGGATGACAGATGCATTTCTTGCCCACAGTGGCTGTCACTTTCTGAAACTAAATGCTCATTACTCTGAAACAAACACAGCAATTAAAGCAGAGCGGAAACGTGTTGGCTATTCATCTTCCTTAGAATGCCTTGTTTGCTGAACATAATGTTGCAGGAGTGTTGCCAGAGGGGACGTGGGGATGGATGGAGGGGGCGTTATTCTCCTCTGCAACAGGAATGGAAATGATCCACTTCTATTTTCAAGTTTAGCTCAGAGGAAATAATGGAGAAAATGTTTCATTTAATGATGATTGGCATAATGAAAGAAATAAAAGGTGTCCTTTTAAAGAGAGAATTCTTTACGCTAATAGACTCTTTGAACTAAAGTGAGATGATTTGTTCGTCAAAGCAATTAAAAGCTGACTTGTTTCTGTTAGGAAATTAGAAGTTGTGCCTTTATTACAAAATTGTGAGCATTCAGATAAAAAAGAAATAGAAATATTGTTATTATTCTTAAGCCTTTGGACACTGAGCAGTTTCGGGGC